CCTTCCGCGTCCCCAATTTGGGGAGGGGGCGCCCGGCTTCACACACCCCCCCCCCGCCGCCCAGGGTAAACTGAAACTGGCCTGCTCCGGGTTGCTGGAAGTCAACCATTCACCCACCCCGCGGGAGGGTTGTTTAGCTAGAGAGAGAAATTGGGGTCCCTCTGTCTGCCTCCCCCTATTATTCCTTCCCCCATTCCTCCCTCCCTCCCTCTTTCCCCCTCTCCTTCTCTCCCTGTCCTTTTCCCTCTCCCTCTGGCTTTCCTTCCTTCCCTCCATCCCTCCCTCTCTCCTTCCCTCTCTCCTTCTCCTTCCCTCCCCTCTTTGCCCATCCCTCTCTCTCTTCCCTCTCCCTCCCTCCCTCCTTCCCTCTCTCCTTCTCTCCCTGTCCTTTTCCCTCTCCCTCTGGCTTTCCTTCCTTCCCTCCCTCTCTCCTTCTCCTTTCTTCCCCTCTTTGCCCATCCCTCTCTCTCTTCCCTCTCTCTCCCTCCCTCCCTCCTTCCCTTTCTCCTTCTTCCCTTTTCCCATTCTTCGCTTCCTCTTCCTTCCCGTCTCCCTCCCTTCCTCCCTCTCCTTCCTTCCTTCCCTCCCCTTTCCCCATCCCTCTCTTTCACTCTCCCTTCCCTGTCCCTCTCTCTCCCTCTCCCCTCTGTCCCTCTCTACATCTTCCCTCTCTCCCTCTCCCCTCTGTCCCTCCTCCCTTCTTCCCTCTCTACTTCTTCTCTCTTTCACTCTCCCTTCCCTGTCCCTCTTTCTCCCTCTCCCCTCTGTCCCTCTCTACTTCTTCCCTCTCTACTTCTTCTCTCTTTCACTCTCCCTGTCCCTGTCCCTCTCTCTCCCTCTTCCCCTCCTTCCCCTTTTTCCCTCTCCCTGTTCTCCCCTTCAGTTCACCTCTCTCTTTCTCTCTCTCCATTCCTCTCTCTCCCTCTCTCCCCCTCTTTTTCTCTCCCTCCCCTCTTTCCCTCTCCTCCTCTCTTCCTCCCACTCTCTCCTCTCCCCTCCTTCCCTCTCTCTCTTCTTCCCCTTCTCTCTCCCCGTCTCTCCCCAAATAATCCACCTCTCCCCTGGATTCATTTACGGTCAAAAAAGGAAGCAGGTGGAAACTACTAACTGCGCCTACTCAGCCAAGTCTGGAGTTACTCCTTTCCAGAGACCGTTTTCCAAAGCTGGTTTTTTTATTTTTGATATATTTTTTAAAGTTCACCTTTTTTAATTCATTGCAAGGGGCAGCAGGTTTCAGGCTGAGCCGTTCATCCCGGCTGTGTTTTATGATGGGTTGAAAACGGATCCCTTGTCCGTGACAGCTCCAGGGATATTAATGGGGTCGGACTAGCCTCATAAGTGTGCTTGTCTTTTGGGCACCCTAAAATTGTTGTCACTGGCCAGTTTCTCCTTTGGAAACGTGGGGAAAAATCTGGCTGGATGTAACCTCCATCAAAGGGTAAAATTTAAATTATGAGGGTGGGAAAGCAAAACACACACACTTTGACAGAAAAAAGGAGAAAGGGAAGGAGACAAACTGCTGAAACAGGATCTTTAAAATCAACCCCCCCCCCTTTTTTTTTTTTTTTTTAAGTCGGGATAGAATTCTGCTCAACTGCTCAACTGCCAGGGATCATTTTTCCCTACCCCACCCCCCATTAAACCAAAACATTCTGCTGTATTGATCTGCTAATGGATGGAATTTGGAGCAAAAGCGTTTTTTAAACAGGGTTGCTTTTACCTTAACGCTTCAGCTTTTAGTCCGAGGGGATGAAAGAGGATAAAATATCAAGGAGAGAAGCAACCTAGAACTAAGGAGAAACTTCCTGACAGTGGGAACAATTAGCCAGTAGAACAACCTGCCTCCAGAAGCGGTGGATACTCCAACACTGGAGGTTTTTAAGAAGAGACTGGGCAGCCATTTGTCTGAAATGGTATAGGGTTTCCTGCCTGAGCAGGGGATTGGACTAGATGACCTCCAAGGTCCCTTCCAACTTTATTATTATTATTATTATTATTATTATTATTATTATTATTATTATTATTATTATTATTATTATTATTATTATTATTAAAATGACCTCTAGAACCTCTAAGACCCCCCCCTACACAAATATTTACAGAGCAAGCCACTAGAATATAAACTGAGAGCAAACCCAACTCTCTTCTAGCCCTGATGATGTTACCTAGCTGGGTCATGAAACGTCTGCAAGAAAACCACCAAGCTCAGAGAGCACCAAGGACCCCTCATTTCAACCCCGAGTTACAAATTTTCTCCTTGAGTGATAAAATGACGGCTGATTCCTCTTATTACACCTGAAGCAGGTGAGCAGCAGGTGACCCTCTGCCCCTCTGGATGGAGATTTGGGGGCTCTACATCCTTCCCGCCTCGGAATGGAAAAACCTAACGACCCGAAACCCAGCCGGTTCTACAAATGCGGCAAGGAGGATGCCAAAATTGTCGAAAACACTGCTGAAATCCTGACGCTGCCGTTGAGGAAAGTCAGCGACAAGGCGGTCATCACCGGAGGCGCCGGCTACTTCGGCTTTACGCTCGGCTGCGCGCTGGCTAAATCGGGAACCGAAGTCATTTTGTACGATTTTAATCCGCCCATCTGGGACATCCCAAAGGGAATAATATTGATCAGGGTATTATTTCTCGTTTCTGCTCATTCTTCACCTTTGGGGTGGGAGAGAAAACCCGTCCCAAAGCGTAGATACTTTGGTGAAGTTTTGCAGGCAATCCTCGACTTACGACCGACCGTTGGTTTAATAGCGGTTCGAAACTGGGATGGCCTTGGGAAAAAGTGCTTGTTTGTGCGGACCGGTTGCTGGCATGCTGCGGCCCGGTACCAGTCCACGGACCAGGGGTTGGGGACCCCTGAGATAGATGTAACAGAAAAGACAGTCCTTCAAATCAGTTGGCCCCCCAAGCCATGGAGAGCTTTAAATTCCCCAGCCAACATGAAAAAGATGGTTCTGGAAGTTCTAGTTGTAGTTTGGCCGTTTTATGAGTCACCTGGTAAAAAATGGACACTTGTCCTCCCACAAGACACTCATGCAAATTTTCTCCTGCCTTACAGTCAGACGTGAGAAACTTCAGTGACTTATACTCGGCCTGCGAAGGTGTGGATTGTCTCATCCACACAGCCGCGTACGGGATGAGCGGCATAGAACAAGTGAGTCCAGCTTGATTTTCCTTCTGTAGTTTTGGAAACGATGCTGGCTCTCTTGAAGATGTGGGAAGGTTATTCTAAAACAGGTGACGGTGAGTTCTAGTTCCGCTTTAGGCACGTAAGTCAGCTGGATGACTTTGGGCCAATCACCAGGAGATGGTGAGTTCTAGTCCCGCCTTAGGCATGAGGGACGGCTGGATGACTTTGGACCAATCACCAGGAGATGGTGAGTTCTAGTCCCGCCTTAGGTATGAAGGACGGCTCGGTGACTTTGGGCCAATCACCAGGAGACGGTGAGTTCTAGTCCCGCCTTAGGCATGAGGGACAGGTCAGTGACTTTGGGCCAATCACCAGGAGACGGTGAGTTCTAGTCCCGCCTTAGGCATGAGGGACAGGTCAGTGACTTTGGGCCAATCACCAGGAGACGGTGAGTTCTAGTCCCGCCTTAGGCATGAAGGATGGCTGGGTAACTTTGGGCCAATCACCATTCAGGAAATACAAAGGGAATAGAGCTGTGCTTCTCAACCTCAGTCCTTTTAAGATGCACGAACTTCAACTCCCAGACTTCCCCTGCCCAGTGAATTCTGGGAGTTGAAGTCCACACATCTTAAAGGGGCCGAGGTTAAGAAATAACTGGAATAGAGCAAGTCCCTTTCTGTGTGGCTGTGACATTGTGAGTCTTCCTCTTCTCCTAGGTGCACAAGAAACGCATTCGGTCGATCAACATTGGAGGGACCGGAATTGTCCTCGAAGGTGCGTAAGTGGTGTCTTGTGTGTGGTTGTAATGGTAGGTTGGTGACAAAAGAGAACAGATCAACTTTTGCTGGCCAAAATTCAGGATTGAACTACTGAGAGGAGCCCACGCTTAAATAATCTGAGGCTTATATTTGGGCACTGGTGAGAAGGAAGACCTGTTCCTTTTTTGTGTGTGCTAGGAAACACACACTTAACACACCCTTCTGTGGTCACGAGAAACTGACTGCAATCGTTGTATCGTTGCCCAGTGTTTTCAATGCGCAGACATTTTCTTCAGGCTTTGGAGAACAAAACTCCACAATCTTCTTCTCGGGTTGTCCCATAAAATAGGGAAAGAAAGTGGCAGGTTTCAGGGCTGAATTAAGGCTTCCCAAATCTATTGTTCAGGATCACCTGGTGGTGCCATATCCCATTCTCCAATTTGGAGTTTTTGCTTCCTCTTTTCCCTGGGACAATAGTAAATAAGTTCTATCTCCTTTTACTGGCCACCAGAGGCGTAGCGTGGGGGGTGCAGGGGAGGCCGGCCGCACCGGGCGCAACATCTGGGGGGGCGCGCTCGCACTCGCAGCTCTCTGCCCCTGCCTGTGCGAATCCGATCCGAGCCGCCGGGTCGCCGCCCACTGTGGAGGGGGGGGCAAATTACTTGCCTTGACCCGGGTGCTGACAACCCACGCTATGCCACTGCTGGCCACAACAGTGTTTTTTCAACCTTGGCAGCTGGAAGATATGTGGACTTCAACTCCCAGCATTCCCCAGCCAGCAAGAGAATTCTGGGAATTGAAGTCCACCCCTCTTCCAGCTGTCAAGGTTGAGAAACACTGACCTACATAGACTCCTATTCTTCCCATATCCATCATTTTATTTATTTTTCCCCCAAAAGAGCCTAGCAACCAATTATTTCTCCCTCTTTCCTGCAACCCAATTAAAACAAAACATCTTTCACGTTGAAGGATGTCCTGGTGACATTCCTGGAAACATCCCTATTCTTGCCCAGATGAATTTCCCTTCCCCTTCTCGCCCAATAGTTTCCCACTCCTCAGATTAACCGACAGTCCCAGAGATCTCCTTGTGGTCTCTCATCCCAATACTTTTTCCCCCAGCTTTGCCTTGCTTTGTCTGGTTTTTAGGCCAGCCTCTGCTCAGCTCCCCCGTTATCTTCCAGACGTGATGCAACGGTGGCTCACTCCTTCCACTTCTCGCCCTTTCACACCATGTGGGCCAGACGGCGTGATTTGCACCCGCAACCTTGCCCCTTTTCTGTGCCTCCCCAGTGTGCAAGCGGCAAAGAATCCCCAGATTGATCTACACCAGTACAGTCGATGTGATCTTTGGAGGACAAACGATCCTCGACGGAGACGAAGCGACCGTATCCTATTTCCCTTTAGAGCAGGTAGGCGAGCTGAAATAAATTGCATTTAGTTCTCAACTTACGACTGGAACCCCCACGACTAAGAGACACGGTCGTTGAGTAAGTCCCGTCCGATTGTATGGCCTGTTTTGTCACGTTGCTGAGTGAACCATGCGGTTCTTAAGTTTCCCCCCGTTGATTTTGCTTGTGGGAAGCCAGCTAGGAAGGTTTGCAAATGATGATCACACGAGCCCAGGATGCTACAACCGTCGGAAAGACGTGCCAGTTGCCCAGTGCTCGAATTTTGACCACGTGACGCTGGGGATGCTGCAACGGTCGTAAGTGCAAACACTGGTTGCAAGTCACTTATTTCAGCCCTGTCGTAACTTCGAACAGTCTTTAAATGAGTCGAGGACTGCCTGTACATTTGGCTGAACCTGGGGAGTTGGATTCGAATGCCCCGTGCGCGGGAGGAAGGAACTGAGCAGGTGATTCCTGCCCGGGTTGAAAATGTTACACAACTGAAACTCTAGTTTCCCAAAGCATTTGGAAAGGGGGCAAAAGACAGTTGTTTAGCCTTTGAATCTCTCTCTCTCTCTCTCTCTCTCTCTCTCTCTCTCTCTCTCTCTCTCTCTCTCTCTCTCTCTCTCTCTCTCTCTCTCTCTCTCTCTCTCTCTCTCTCTCTCTCTCTCTCTCTCTCTCTCTCTCTCTCTCTCTCTCTCTCTCTCTCTTTCTAGCAAGTTAATGAATATTCCCGGACAAAATCAATCGCAGAACAAATGGTCTTAGCGGCGAATGGATCACTCCTGGAAGGTACTTCTCTGCAAATTTACGCACCTGATTAAAACTCAGGACCAGTTCTGCCTTTTATCTCTCCACTCCCCCCCCCACACCTTTGCAGTCCATGAAACTAGGGGAGGGTCCCTTCTGAGATGGTTACAGCACCCCTTTCCTTCTGAGGGCTCAGCTGCTGCTTATCCGACCCTCGACTTGTGTGTGGCTCTTCCTCCCGTCTCCCAAGGCAGTGGTGGGATTCAGCCAGTTCGCAGCACTTCGGCACAATCAGTAGCTAATTTTTTGCTGCCCAGGCCCAGAATGGACTTCCGGAAGCAGCATCCATGCAGAGAACCGGTTGTTCACCTATTTGAATCCCACCACTGTCCCAAAGTCATTTGCACATTGCATTACATCAACTGGTTAGAATACAAGATTGACGCATTGCAAGATTCTTTTAATGTAACCCTAGGGTTAGGGTTACGTCACCATGAATTCGGAGAGCAAAATGGACATTGCCAACAAACTCGGAGTGCTTAGGTATGGTTAGGAGGGCACTGACTTTTCTAGCCTGCCCTATCTATCTTTCGGGGTAAAATACATGGGAAAATCCCATTGGAGGAAAATTCCACTTAGGATTAGGGTTAGGTCACCATGAACTCATAGAGCAAAATGGACATCACCAATAAACTTGGAATACTTGGGTATGGTTAGGAAGGCACTGACTTTTCCAGCCTGCCCTATCTATGTTTCCTGGTAAAATTCATGGGAAAATCCCATTGGGGGAAAATTCCACTTAGGGTTAGGGTTAGGTCACCATGAACTCATACAGCAAAATGGACATTGCCAACAAACTCGGAGTGCTTGGGTATGGTTAGGAGGGCGCTGACTTTTCCAGCCTGCCCTATCTATGTTTCCTGGTAAAATACATGGGAAAATCCCATTGGAGGAAAATTCCACTTAGGCTTAGGGTTAGGTCACCATGAACTCATAGAGCAAAATGGACATCGCCAACAAACTTGGAGTGCTTGGGTATGGTTAGGAGGGCGCTGACTTTTCCAGCCTGCCCTATCTATGTTTCCTGGTAAAATACATGGGAAAATCCCATTGGAGGAAAATTCCACTTAGGCTTAGGGTTAGGTCACCATGAACTCATAGAGCAAAATGGACATCGCCAACAAACTCGGAGTGCTTGGGTATGGTTAGGAGGGCACTGACTTTTCCAGCCTGCCCTATCTATGTTTCCTGGTAAAATACATGGGAAAATCCCATTGGAGGAAAATTCCACTTAGGGATTGCACCCACAGGACTCAAAGTGGTCATTTCATACATTCAAGGATTCATTCTGGCTTGCTTTACTTCACAGGAGGAGGGAAGTTACACACCTGTGCAATCCGCCCTCCTGGAATTTACGGACTGGAAGAGATGCGGCATTTGTCTCAGTTGGCCGTATGTATTTTGACGGGCAGCCCTGATGAAGAGGTGGCGGGGGGGGGGGTGTCACAGAAGCACTTTTGCAGGGAAAGCGAAGAAGGTCTGCGCTTTTGTGATTTTGTGATTTTCGTGTTTTGCCAACAGCTCAATATCGAAAGAGGCTTTTTTAACGTCTGTTTCGACAATGCGGGGATCCTGATGAACTGGGTCCACGTGAAAAATCTGGTCCAAGGCCACATCCTTGCTGCGAAGGCTCTCACTCCCGAAATGAACTATATCGCGGTGAGTTTTTCAGTTCCCGGTCTTCCAGAGATATGTGGCCTTCACCTGGAACTTTATGTCCCGATGGCCTATTTTTCCTTTATTCAAACGGTTACTAAATGAATGGTTGTAAGTCAAGGACTGCCTATAAAAGATTAAAAGGGGGGGATCTCTGATTGACTGCTTAAGAGCTGAAAGCCAGTCACTTTGGAACAAAAGTTTTAAGTTTTTGTATTAATTTTATGTCTGTCTGTCTGTCTGTCTGTCTGTCTGTCTGTCTGTCTGTCTGTCTGTCTGTCTGTCTGTCTGTCTATCTATCTATCTATCTATCTATCTATCTATCTATCTATCTATCTATCTATCTATCTATCTAGTCTATCTGTCTATCTGTCTATCTGTCTATCTATCTATCTATCTCATGTTTGTCTATTTATCTATCTATCGTAACATACATTACAATTAAATTTTTAAAAACTTTTTAAAACAATAAAAACAGCAAAAAGCATTAAAACAATAAAAAAGGTTTATTTTTTTAAAAATATATATTTTGTAACTGTATGGAAGCATCGTAGGATTTCTGAGTCACCTTTCTCATTGGCCCTTCCATGGTGTCATTCCCAGGGTGGGCAGGCCTACTTTATCAACGATGGGGAGAAGGTCAACCTGTTTGAATGGCTGCTGCCCTTGGTGAGTCAAAAAACCTTGGATCTCAGGGACACATCTGTAAATTGTTTAATTGCTGTAAATTGTTTAATTGTTTAATTGATGGAGAAAGAGTCCATCATCACGATGACATTTTGGGCATTTGGCAACTGGCTGGCATTTACGGCAGTGTGTAGTGTCTTGAGGTCACATGACTGTGATTTACGATACTTTTGCCAGAAATTGGTTTAATTCTGGCTTCTGGCAAAAACTACCCATTGCGGACATTCTGTTGGCTTAATGACCCAGGACTTGCTTAACAACTGCGGCCTTCAGTTTATGATTGTGGCATTCATTTAAACACCACCACAAAAAAAGTCAGAAAATCAGGTCAATCATGTGATGACCCACTTAACAACTGGCAGGATTTACAGCCGTAATTTTGGGCTCAATTACCGTCATATGTCGAGGAGTACCTGTAAGGGTTTGACTCCCAAAATCAACTCGGGTGGGGCAAAGAAGGTAACGAGGGCTGATGTTCCTCCATTGTGCAATTAGTGGGTTAAAAACCTCTTGTCTTCCTCCTGCTGTACATTTTGGCTCTGTTGACTTGTAACACAAGGGTCTCCAAATTTGGCAACTTTAAGACTTGTGGACTTCAACTCCCAGAATTCCCCAGCCAGACTAAGTCCACATGTCTTAGTTACCAACTTTGGAGACCTCAGGAGTAACGAATTGTCCTTGTCAATCAGTTTTCCCCTTTATTTTCAGTTTGAAAAACTGGGCTACAAGAAACCGTGGATCCATATTCCTGTTTTTTTGCTTCATCTAACAGGTAAACAAACTCCAATAATTGGCTCAAAGCTGGTTTCTTATTCAGCTTGAAATACCCCACATCCCCAAAACCACAACCAGTTCCTTATCCTGATGGACCGCGATCAGATTTACCTCTTTTTCAAGTTTGTCCTTTATTTTTTCTTAGAAAATAGGGTCCCAGTATGTAAGAAGGAGATGCCAGAGGTTTCTAAGATGGAGGCCGGGCCAACATTTTGCTTCCTGTTAAACCTGTAACCACAAAAGCTGCGTTTTCTCTTCCACAGCTGCCGTCATGGAAAAATTACAAAATCTATTGCTACCCATCGTGGAGATCCCAGCCCTGATCACCAGAAACGAAGTAATGCATCCCTGAGAAATTGGGAAGGGGGTTTGAAAAGTCTCCTTGGTGAGAAGTATTGGTAACCGCCATCGGGCCAGACCCCAGCGGCCTTTTTGAAAGGCAAAAAGGACAATGCACAAGTGTTAAAGCAGGGGTCTTCAAACTTGGCCCCTGTGTTGTGGACTTCAACTCCCTGAATTCCTCAGCCAGGCACACTTCCCTCGCTGTGCGAGAAATCAGCCCCTTTGCATCTCCTGAGCAAAACCTAAATGTCTTTTCTCCTCCTAGCTCCAATGTTTTTCCACATTTTATTTGTTTCTGCCTCATTTTCTAAAAATGCTATTGAGGATAACCACAACAATGGGATCTATCTGTCTTCCCGATTTACAGGTACACAACATGTGTGTCATGCACACCTTCAAAATAGATAAAGCTCGGGCCCATCTTGGCTATGCCCCGAAAAAGTACCCGTTTGCCGACTGCGTGGATCACTTTTTGAAAAAGGGACCCCGTCCGAGGAGTTTTTTCTTACGAAAATGCCTTTTTCTGCTGGTCCTCCTCGCGGGGCTGATCGTGCTGTATGTGAAATTCACCCAAGTCCGAACTTTCCTGCTCGATTCCTGGGAAAAATATCGCTATGTTCTGAAGAGGTAAAGCGTCGGGACGTTGCTAGCCCTTAGAAGCAGGGATGGGAACTGTGGCACATGGGCTTTGGAGTCATCCCCAACTCGTAGGCCAAACAGGTACCGCTAAGAGGATGCGACGACGATTGTTCCAAAACGAAAACGGCGAATGGACGGGTTAACCAAGCGCAGCGTCGCGCGGACGTCGTCTCCGGAACTCCCTTGAGATCCTCAAGAGTTCTGTGCGGCTGCACGAGGAAGAAAAATGAAAGCCAAAAGAGGGATGCTCAACCCCCCACTTCCACCCCACCCCACCTGGGTGCCGTATGATAAGGGCCACCTGGAAGGATCAAGATCGGTGTCGCTTTCTGAAGATGGAGCCTAGAAGGATGACGTGGGGACCACATTTAGGTGAAGGATCCCCATGGACACTTTTGTGCCCTTGTACCTCCATCTACCTTGGGTCAACCATGCAGGGCACTAAAATAAAAGCACTTGGGGAAAAAGACCAATATGGTTGTCTTTTTGAATGGGAAGCGGCACTGGCAGCTGTCCAGAGGTTCCCCCAAGATTCATGGGGTCCATTTACAGGATCCGGATGGCATCTTGGACTCAGCAGAGAAGAGGGGGGGGTCCCCAGGATGCCATCACCCACATCAAAAGGGGGTCCACAAAGCCGCTATTGGTTAGTTTCAACTCTTCTGGCTAAAACGCAAAAAAAAATAATTCCTGGAATAAGCTAACTTCCCTTTGGAAAAAAAAATATAGTGCTGTAGTTAAAAAATAATAGTAAAAGAAATAAAAGGAAGTAAAAGGAACCACTTGTTCAAGATAATAAAGAAATAAGTAAGATTTAATTTACAGATACAATAATGAATTTGTACATTAGAATAATTACTGAATAAAATAAAGGTAAGTATATTTATTATTTATTTGCCGAATTTATCTAGCTAGATAAATATATGGGATGAATATTTATATCAGTTATTTAATTAGAGATATATCTAGATATGTATATATGTATATTAAACATATTGTATTATATTACACACACACACATATATATAATAATATATATTATATATAATATATATGTATATATATATATATACATACAATATAATCATAGGCAGTCTTATAGTATTTATATAATGTATATTTTTCTAGATGAATTAAATAAATAATATACAGTATGTATTCATATATAATATTATATAGACAACATAGAATCTTTCTGTATTTATTTTGTTTATTTATTAGGGATATTGATTTATTAGCCTTCTTGGATTTAATAATTCCCTTCTTGTTCTAAGATTTATTCTCATTTGATTTATATCTTCGGGGGTATCTCCCCCCGCCGCCGCCCTCTCCCCTGTTTCCTCTTTTCCTGCTTTGCAAAATAATATATCTTTTTTTTCCAATATTTTCCTTTCCTTCCCACCAAACTACAGATTGCAAAAGTGACTTTTTCCACTGGCTGAGTTTTTTTCCCCTCCCCCTTTGCAAGCCTCTAAACCCGCAGGCATTTCCGGGATCTTTTTAAGGGTCGCGCCCTACTTTGATCCTGGGAGAGGGGCGCGGGATTGGCGGGGGTCGCCTCCAAAACAGAGCAAAAAATTACTTGCAAGAAAAAAGAAAATTAAAAAAAAATTCTGTTGGCAGCGGTGGGATTCGAACCCACGCCATCGAAATGACTGGAGCCTAAATCCAGCGCCTTAGACCACTCGGCCACGCTACCACTTGCTCAGAAAGGAACTCTCAATCGCAGATCAAGACCGTGCAAAAGCAGCCGTTGGTTTCCTTTTGCAAAACANAAATTACTTGCAAGAAAAAAGAAAATTAAAAAAAAATTCTGTTGGCAGCGGTGGGATTCGAACCCACGCCATCGAAATGACTGGAGCCTAAATCCAGCGCCTTAGACCACTCGGCCACGCTACCACTTGCTCAGAAAGGAACTCTCAATCGCAGATCAAGACCGTGCAAAAGCAGCCGTTGGTTTCCTTTTGCAAAACAAAAACGCCCCGCATTAAAAATAATGCAATTTTTTCCCCTCTTTTTTTTTTTTTTAATTGTTGCAAGATTATCTTCCGATTTGGGAGTATTTTGGGTTTTTTCCCGACTTTCCTTGCAGAAATGCTTAAATTAATTTTTTTTTAATCTTTTACAGTGTGTCTTTTTTTGCACAGCCGTTGTAAAGCCTCTCCCCCCCCCCCTTCCCAAGTATTTTTTTTAAGAAAAATATTTCTAAATATTTTTAGCGGCCTTTTCTCCATGTTGAAAAGAGCAACGTGGATTTCCCACGGTAGGGAGGCTATTGCGCGCGCTGGACACCAGAGGGCGCTGCTCTCCAGCTTTTTTTCATCTCCGGATTCATTAGTCTTATTTTTTAAAAAAAAAATCTCATGACCCTTTTTAGAATAGAATAGAATAGAATAGAATAGAATAGAATAGAATAGAATAGAATAGAATAGAATAGAATAGAGCTGGAAGGGACCTTGGAGGTCTTCTAGTCCAGCCTCCTGCTCAGGCAGGAGACCTTTTACCATTTCAGACAAGTGACTGTCTAGTAGTCTCTTCTTAAAAACCTCCAGGGATGGAGCACCCAGAACCTCTGGAGGCAGGTTGTTCTACTGGTTAATTGTCTTCACTGTTAAGAAGTTTCTCCTTAATTCCAGGTTTGTTTCTCTCCTTGAGTAATTTCCATCCATGGTTTTTGTCCCGTCTTCAGGTGCTTTGGAGAATAATTTGACCCCCTCTTCTTTGTGGCAGACCTACCTACCTACCCTATCTGTCTGTGTGTCTACCTATCTACCTATCTTCCCGATCTATTTAATCTATCTGTCTACTTACCTACCCTGTCTGTCTGTCTACCTATCTTCCCTATCTAATCTATCTATCTACCTACCTGTCTGTCTGTCTGTCTACCTTCCCTATCTATCGAATCTGCCTGTCTGTCTACCTACCTATCTTCCCTATCTGTCTGTCTACCTACTTACCTACCTTCCCTATCTATCTGTCTATCCTATCTGTCTGTCTGTCTGTCTACCTATCTACCTTCCCTGTCTGTCTACTTACCTACCTACCTTCCCTATCTATCTGTCTATCCTATCTGTCTGTCTGTTTACCTATCTATCTTCCCTGTCTGTCTGTCTGTCTGTCTGTCTACCTACCTACCTTCCCTATCTATCTGTCTATCCTATCTGTCTGTCTGTTTACCTATCTTCCCTGTCTGTCTGTCTACCTACTTACCTTCCCTATCTGTCTGTCTACCTACCTACCTACCCTATCTATCTGTCTATCCTGTCTGTCTGTCTACCTATCTACCTTCCCTGTGTGTCTACCTACCTACCTACCTACCTTCCCTATCTATCTGTCTATCCTATCTGTCTGTCTGTTTACCTATCTATCTTCCCTGTCTGTCTACCTACCTACTTACCTTCCCTATCTGTCTGTCTACCTACCTACCTACCTTCCCTATCTATCTGTCTATCCTATCTGTCTGTCTACCTATCTACCTTCCCTGTCTGTCTACCTACCTACCTACCTTCCCTGTCTATCCTATCTGTCTGTCTGTTTACCTATCTATCTTCCCTGTCTGTCTGTCTACCTACTTACCTTCCCTATCTGTCTGTCTACCTACCTACCTACCTTTCCTATCTATCTGTCTATCCTATCTGTCTGTCTACCTATCTACCTTCCCTGTCTGTCTGTCTACCTACCTACCTTCCCTATCTGTCTATCCTATCTGTCTGTCTACCTATCTATCTTCCCTGTCTACCTACCTACCTACCTTCTCTATCTATCTGTCTATCCTATCTATCTGTCTGTCTACCTACCTACCTTCCCTATCTATTTTATCTGTCTTGCCTGCCTGCCTGCTTATCTACCTACCTACCTACCTACCTACCTATCCCAGTCTGTCACGGGAGGTGAAACCAGCTGGGGGGGGCACGCGGGTGGTGGGCGGGCCCCCTTCCAGCATTGCCACCGTGGGGGCGGGGGGAGAAATGGGGGTGGGGGGTGGGCTGGCTTTTGCACGGAGCCCCGCCTTGCAACGCGCCTGCCTGCCCGCCTGCCCGCCTGCCTGGGGACGCGCGAGGCGCTGGCGAGCCCCACTCCCCGGGGAAGAAGGCGAGAAGCGTCACGCGCGGCGCTCGCCCCTTCTTGCAGCCGCTGCTCCTCCGCTCGCTCCGCGACCCGTTTCCTCCCGCTTCCCCCCGGGCCAAGGTAAGCCCAACGGGGCCCCCCACCCCACTTCCCCGCCCGCGCCGGGCGTGCACGCTTCTTGCGTGGGTCCGGGCGGCGTTCCCACGACCCTGCCTGCAACCTGGGAGCGCGGAGGCTCGGGGTTCCCCCCAATCGCCCTGGGTGGGCTGGCTTTGCCACTCCGGGGAGGGACAGCAGCGGAAGGGGTGTGTGTGTGTGTGTGTGTGTGTGGGGAGGGGGGTTGTGGGGACGCAGCCCCCCCGCCTGCGTGCCTTTGCAGACAGGAGCGTGGAGGCAGCGGGGAAGGGGGTCGTGGGAAGGCAGCTGCTCCCTGCCTGCAGGTCTTGGCAGTCCCCCCCCCCTTCCCTCCAGGAAAGGCCAGGGAGGGGCAGAAAGCCAGCGGGCGCCCCTCCCGTTCTGCTGACTCTGAATTCCGGGTTTTTTCCCCACTGGGAATTGGGGTGTGTGTGTAGGGTTGGGGGAGAGCTGCGGGGGGGGGAAGACTTTGGGGAGGGGGGAAGAGGGAAGGGGGTCGGTTGCTCTGAGTCAGCTTTTAAGACTTTCTGCCCTGGGAGGGAGAATAGCTTTGTCACCCCTAACTTTGTTGCAGAAGTCTATCTTCCTGTTTTGGGGTGGGTGGGGAGACTTTCCTGGGGAGGGGAGATCACAGGAGAGGTTGCAGCATAAAAGAAGGCGACCCCCCTCCTCCCCTCCCCAACGGTTGTGTTACTGTGTTGCATGAAAAAGGAAAAAAACAAACAGAAGTGGAGGAAAAGAGAGATTCAAAGTTGCATTTTTTGGTAGGCAAAATAAAAGAGGCTTTATAGCTTGTGGAAGCAACTCCTGCTCCCATCATCCCCAGCCTGCCTGGAAAAGGGATGCTGATGGGAGCATCTGGGAACCTCGAAGCATTTGGAACAGCTTGGTTTGGGGTTAGGCTAGTCCCAAGTTTATAACTGGAGCTTTAATGTGTGCATTAGGCGCCTGGCGTGTTGCTTTATTTTCTGCTTTGTGGGCTGTTATTATGGAGGTGGGTTTGCTTTGAGTAGGTGTGTGATTGTTGGGTTGTGTGGGGTGCAGCTTTCTCCTGAATGAGTTTGCAACGTTGACCTGGAAATCAGGCCTTTTAAACAAGTTTGGGATGCTATTCAAGCTCCATTTATTGAAAAGAAAAGTTCTTTGTGTTGGCAAATAAGAGTTCTTACATTTGGGCTCCAAAATGGGTGGGAAGGACTTCTTTAAATCATCTGAAAGGAAGCTGGTACACGTGATTGCCGTAAAAACCCATTTCTTAATTTCAGGAACAGTAATTGGAGACCTCTTGGGAGAAAACAGGCCCATTTCTGGCCAGTTTCTCATCTGTGCAGCTGGGATCGCTTACTTGAGCTCCTTATCCAACAGGCCTTTCAGCGTGTGTGGTTAGTCAAGGCTGTTGTGTTCTGAGGAGAGAAGGGAGCAGAATTGTGTTGCTTGTGAGGTCCTCAGTTGTGGGACTTTGGGGTCCAAACAGTTGTGATATCATCCATCTTGGTTTAATTATTTAAAGATTTATATGGCCACCCCACTGTTGAAACTATGACGATTTACAGCCCTTAAAACAAATCTTAGTATCTTCCAATTGTCTTAAATTGTGTAAAAAGGCTTTTAAATAGTTTTGCGAGTTTGACACACAACTATAAAAACAATTCTTAACATCTCTCAATAGTCTTTACACCCAATTTAAGTAAAAGACTCTTAAATAGTCTTGAGAATGCAATGTACAACTGTAAAACCCAATTTAAGTACAAAAAACATTCGTAATATTTCACAATTGTCTTAGTTTTACACCAGGGTAAAAGACGCTTAAACAGTGTTGAGAATTTGACACACAACTTTAAAAACAATTCCTAACATCTCTCAATGTAAAAGACTCTTAAATAGTGTTGAGAATGTAGTATACAACTTTAAAACCCAATTTAACTATTAAAAATATTCTTAATTTCTCATAATTGTCTTAGTTTTACACTTCAATAGTTTTCGATAGTCTCTTGAGGATTTTTTCTTGCAAACTTCACTTCTTTGCTATTCTAGCCTCCTGGTCTGTTGTTCCAGATCTTTATCTTTATTGACCAAAGTTGCATGCTTCTATTCACGTACAAATACTCTGTTATTTGAGTCTGGGCTGTGTGCGAATTTTACAACTTCTTTCTATTGGCAGCGCCATTTATATAATAAATTGCGGTATTTTTACGAAGCAGGTTTGTTGGCTGCATGAAATTACTTTTATTTGGAAATGTTGCAGGCAAGGAGTTATTATTTTGACACATCAGCAACACCCTTCAGTGGTATAAGCTGAAGCCCCTTCCCATCAAATTAAAAATTGAATTCTTTTTTTTTTAACCGTAAACGGTAACCCCAATTGTGCAGGGGTGCCAGAAGAGGCTACAGCTACACTGATGATCTGTTTGTTCTTGAAGAATCCTGACATTAAATTGCCTATTTTAAAAACAAGTTGAGACAGCTTCTTTACAGAATGTAACTGGTGATCTGCACAATTTTAAAACTCTTATTGAAGAAATGCCCCACCCCTGCTGCATAATTGATTCTCGTTTATTTATTTATTTATTTATTTATTTATTTTATTTATTATTCGAATTTATATCCCGCCCTTCTCCTTGCGGACTCAGGGCGGCTGAACTTAATCCAAGCTTCTTCACCTGGAATAAATATGACCCAAAATGTGCTGGAAAACATTTGTAGGAATTTTTCTCTCTCTCTGCATTTGTTCTTAAGGACATGCAATATTGGCTATATTTTGCCAATCCCAGTTCTTGCAAAGCAGGGTGTAAATTAGGAAGTTACCCTCCATTTTCCAGGCTTGGGGGCTTCAACTTCCAGAATTCCCTAGTCAGGCTTGCAAAGAATTCTGGGAAGCAGTCTATAAATCTGGGGGGGGGGAGGAGGAAAGGCCCAGCTGGAAAATGCAAACTGAAATCGTAGATCACCATTTCTTAACCTTGACAGTTTGAAGATGGATGGACTTCAATTTCCGGGGCTGGGGAATTCTGGGAGTTGAAGTCCACCCATCTTCAAGCTGTCAAGGTTGGAAAAAACAATGCATTAAAATGAAAGGTTATTTCTTAACAAGCAAAAAGGTGACCTCATATCCGGATGTACTCCATCAGGAGATCTGCCTTCCCATCAGCTCATATGTTGCTTGGATTTCAGCATGATGGGGTGTTTGGGGAAGGGTGGAGCGAAGTCAGCCGTGTGCAACCAACCGCCTGTGTTGCTCAGAGTGTAAAATGTTATGTAAACCACCTCCTGGCTGCACTGGAAGTCTGTGTGTGCATGTGTGGCAATTCATCTCCAGTGTAGCAAAAATAGCTCTCGGCTCAGCTGTGTTGATGTGTTGTACCCAGTTGGTTTATAGCTTCACCAAGCTTGGAAAAGAAAAGAAAAGAAAAGAAAAGAAAAGAAAGAAAGAAAGAAAGAAAGAAAGAAAGAAAGAAAGAAAGAAAGAAAGAAAGAAAGAAAGAAAGAGACAGACAGACAGACAGAAAAGAATAAGAAAGGAAAGAGAGAAAAGAGAGAAAGAAGGAGGAAGGGAGGGAGGGAGGGAGGAAGGAAGGTTTTTTTTTTAAAGTTCCAGTCTGCCTAACAATGTTTGTTGAATTAATTCTTTGGACATGGAGAGTTTTGCATTGGAAATAGCTGGCATCCAAAATAGGGTGCAAACTATTTTCAACACAAAACAGTACAGTAATTTTCCTTCCTTCCTTCCTTCCTTCCTTCCTTCCTTCCTTCCTTCCTTCCTTCCTTCCTTCCTTCCTTCCTTCCTTCCTTCCTTCCTTCCTTCCCTACCTCTCCTTCCTTCCTTCCTATCTATTTAGGGCCTCTGAAATAACATTTCAGCACAATCCAATGCAAGGAACATTTTTACAAAGGCAAAAAGGAAGGCCCTGGTAAAAAGGAGTGAATAATTTATGGCTAATTTCAGTGCAGAGGGAATGTATTTGTTTGGCTCCAGCTGGTATTGAAGGCATGATAAGGTTACCAGGCTGTTAAAATGCAGGCTTTTGCATCAGGCAGGAGGAATGGAGGAGGTGAGGTTCTTGAATTCACACCTTTTGTAAATAGACAAAGTGTACTTGTCCTTATTTCCTCCGAGATTAAGGGGGCAGTCTGATCTTTGGGTGAACCATCGCCCTGGGCTCAGTTTATACAGATAGTCCTCAAAGTAGGAGAGTAATGGAGCCCGCCCATCACGACAGTCGTCAATCAGGCCGAGTGACTGACCTGTTTTTACAACTTTTTTTTTTTTTGCAGTGGTCCTCATTAAACGAATGCTACAATTGTAAAGTGGCTGCTGCGGTTGTTAAATGAAGCAGCGGTTTGCCAGGGCTGCAGTTTTGTCAGTAATTGCCCGTTTTGGGCAAAACCGTAGTGAAAACCAGGCGAAGCCATCAAAAAAAAAATTGGTCAAGGTGAGATGCATTTTCTCAATTTCTTTCCAAAAAAAAGGTTTCTGTTTTTCTGCTTTATTCCCAGACAGCTTGAAAGTTCTCTTGGGAGCCTTTTCCGGCTTCCTGATGGAGTGAGGGACTGCTGATTTTTTCTGATTTTTATTTTTGTGTTTTGGTTCTGGGTTTCCATCGCTCCTTTCAATATAGGTAGTCCTCGTCTTACAACAGTTCATTTAGGGATCGTTCAAAGTTACAACGCTACTAAAACAAGTGACCCTTTTTCCCGCCTACGACCGCTGCAGCCTCCCCATGCTCACGTGATCTATATTCGGATGCTGGACAACTGACTCACATTTATGGCGGTTGCAGTGTCGCGGGGGTCATGTTTTTGCAATCATCTGACATGCAAAGTCCAGATTCGTTTAACAACCGTGTTACTAATTTAACAACTGCAGCGATTCGCTTGACAAACGTGGCAGGAAAATTCGTAAAAGGGACCAAGACTCACTCAACAAATTTCTCACTTAGCAACATAAAGCTGTGGGCTCAGTTGTGGTCGTAAGTTGAGGACTACCTGTATCTGAAAAAAAAACCCAAGGGTTACAGAATGCTAGGAAATATGCAGAAGGAAAAGTAGACCACTGAGCAATCCCCTTGTCCAAAAAAAGGCACTTGATTGTTTCTGAACCAGCTTCTCTTTTGCAAGGAAGATCCATGTATTCCAAGGGCCCATTTCTCTTCCATCAGACAAAAGGGATTATATATATATATATAAACAACGGGTTTTCTTCTCAACCCCGTGCCTGGGGGAGCCGCGCGTGGCCAACGGACTTATTAAGGGCTCTTTGTCTGTCTCTTCATACCGTGAAGGGAAGCTGCAGCCTCCTTGCCTGATTGGCTGGTAGGGATCTCAGCTGGCAGAGAGCCAGAGGGTTTGAAAAATCTGTCTGCTTGGCACCAGCGCATGGATCTCCTTAAGCAGGAAAGGAACAGCATGTTCCCCATGAAGCCACATCGATCTCATTGTTCAACGTTTGCTGGTCCTGGAGATAAGACTCGGAACATCTGCAAAGAACAGAATAGAATAACAAACTTGGAAGGGGCCTTGGAGGTCATCTAGCCCAACCCCCTGCTCGAGCAGGAGACCCTATACCATTTCAGACAAATGGCTGTCCAGTCTCTTCTTAAAAACCTCCAGTGTTGGAGCACCCACAACTTCTGGAGGCAAGTCGTTCCAATGGTTAATTGTTCCCACTGTCAGGAAGTTACTCCTTAGTTCCAGGTTGCTTCTCTCCTTGATTAGTTTCCATCCGTTGCTTCTTGTCCTGCCTTCAGGTGCTTTGGAGAATAGCTTGACTCCCTCTTCTTTGTGGCAAACCCTGAGATACTGGAACACGGCTATATCATGTCACCCCTCGTCCTTCTTTTCATCAGATTTTAATTGCGGCTGGTTTAATCCAACGTGCCCAGGCTGGCTGGTTTAGTTGATCCTGTTAGTATTTTACTTCTCTTGCAATTGTGCACGTGGTAGAGGTGGAGATGGCAAGCTGAGACGTGCCCCATGCTGCTTACGGCTGGCTTAGAGTCGTCATGTAGCTTTCCACTTGAGGCAATGGTTACAGCCCGTGGCACGGCAGAGGCAAAAGTTGTGTTATCTAAAACGCATTGTCTCTGCAATTCAGGGATAGAAATTTTGCAGACCCTAATACAGCAATTGGCAAGTTGAGTGATCCAGCAACGCCAGGGGCACTTTTGGATCAGAAGATCACAAATGGGGATCAGATGACCCTGGGACACTGCAACGGTCATAAATATGAGTGAGTTGCCGAGTGTCTGAATTTTGATCATCTGATCACAGGGATGCCGGTCATAAGTGTGAAATATGGTATTAAGTCCCAAAGATGCTTTTTCACGAGGCAACTGGACTTCCTTGTTTTTCTTTGAAGATGTTTCTCTTCTCATCCAAGAGGCTTCTTCAGCTCTTCTTCAAAGCTGAAGAAGCTTCCTGGATGAGAAGCAAAATGTCTTCAAAGAAAAACAAAGTCCAGTTGTCTCATGAAAAAGCATCTTTGGGGACATGATCTGGATGCCTAGGAATCTCCACAGACATTTTGCGATGGTATTAAGTCGTTTTTTTCTCAGTGCCGTTATAACTTCGAACTATCCCTAAGCGAATGGTTATAAGCTGACATTAATGAAGACATTAACTGAGTTAGCTCATGGATTCAAACTAGTATAGCCTTTGTTTTGCATTTGGCTTGTTTTAGAGTCCTCTGGAATCCTGGATCCATCTCTCTCTCAGCATTGTTAGAACTGACAGGGTTCCCCTCTTCTTCTAAACCATGGTTTGTAGCTTTGTCCTGCGAACACCCAGCCAGTCCTGGTTTCTACCCCCACCAATCCTGATTATTCATTTGCCTTTTGATTTCCTTCCCTAGTCTCTCCAGCCTGTAATTCTGGCTTCCCCAGCAGCCCACCGAGCGAGGTCCGTATTCTCCCAATATGGCGGACGAAGACCTGATATTTCACATGGAGTACCTGGACAACGCCACGCCAACCAAACCAGGTTGTGGGAATTGCCACGAGGTGGACAGCGATGAGGAAGAGAATTATTACATCTGCCCGATTACAGATGACCCTGTTTTGAGCAAGGCAGCCGAGGACAAAGTTCACAACTATTATAGCAACTTGGTCAAAAACGAATGTTATTCTTCCAGCTCTTCTCCCAGAAATTCCTTCCAGATTAGGGTAAGTTTTAGCCTCTTCAGAATTGTTTTTTTTTTCCTTCAGCAATGAGCTTTCTTGTCTGCTTTGGCTGCATGTAACTAACTCTGCCAATAAGCATAATTTGGATATTTTTCTGCTTTAGTATGGTTGCCCTCTTCCTAAATTTTGGACAAGGGTGCCGGTCCAGGTTGCCTTCTCCATAGTTGATTCCCTGGCCAGCATGTGCAATGGATTCCTTATAAGGTTTGAAGAAATAATAGCAGTCTTCTAAGATTTGAGGGATTGTCACAGAGTAGAAGGGGTCAAGCTATTCTCCAAAGGGCAGGACAAGAAGCAACAAATGGAAACTAACCAAGGAGAGAAGCAACCTAGAAATAAAAAGAAATGTCCTGACAGTGAGAACAATTAACCAGTGGAACAACCTGCCTCCAGAAGTTGTGGGTGCTCCAACACTGGAGGTTTTTGAGAAGAGACTAGACAACCATTTGTCTGAAATGGTGTAGGGTCTCCTGCTCCAAGAGGTTGGACTAGAAGACCTCCAAGGTCCCTTCCAAGCCTATTTTTCTGCATTAGTTTGCGCTGATTGACATGTTTATTGTTTTAAACTTTTTTTGCTGTACAGCGTCCAGAGTCACTTTGTCTTGTGACAGATGACATAATTGTACTTGCACAGAAAAAAAAAGTCAATTGTCTTTAAAAAAAACAACCCCCAACAATTATGGGTGATGTAATTAGAAATCTTTTGCTCATGAAACTGTCCGGTAAAGCATACAAGTGACCTGGCCGGAGATGACATACCCAAGTATTGATTTTTGCAAGCTTTACTCTCCAGCCTAAAAAGTTGTGTCTGGACAGTGGGGAAAAAACACAAGATCAACTCCTGTTCTTGAATGTTTTTGATTGCACTGTCCTCTTCTTGAAATCATCAGGATTTATTTATTTATTTTGCACAATAGGGTAGGGTAGATACTGCTAAGTAACCCTGTACTGACCATATCTCTGTCGAATTTGGAAGAAGAAGGAAAGTGCGATTGGAAACCTAGTGGCCGGGTGACTTTTGTGTAGCTGCAATAACCGTTTTGGCTTGTCTGTTTTGCTGTGTCGTTCAATAACTGTGTCTTGTCTGTGTCCTTCAGAATGGGACTCAGCACCCCCCTAAGCGCAACGCTCAGACTGACCATGGACGGGTAGGTCACACCCCAAACCCCCTCCTGTTCCCCAACAGACTCTAATAAATGCCTGCTTTGCATCTCACGTCATCTTCATTTTATCCACTCCGGTTTGGGAACTCTCTCCCCAAAGCCGTTACCCAACTGTCATTTTTAATTTGTCGGTTATTTATTTTAAGCCATTTATGCAACCGCCCATCTCTTTACAGGGACTGGGTGGATATTTTAACAAGACAGAAGGGTGGACGTGATTAGGAAGATATCAGACTAGGCCAGGGGTATAGGCAACCTTGGCTCTTGGACTTCAACTCCCAGAATTCCTCAGCCAGCATGGCTCAGCTTGGAAACCTCTCCCTTTCCCCTCAGCATGGCTGGCTCAGGAATTCTGGGAGCTGAAGTCCACGAGTCATAAAAGAGCCAAGGTTGCCTACTCCTGGACTAGGCCTATTTCCTTGAATGAAACTGACGCTGAAATGAAAGCAAAACCCCTTTTTTTTTCTCTTCTTTTTCTCCGATTTTTGCTGCTCAGTTTTGGAAGATGGCACCCACCAGCTCATTTGAAAGGCCCAGATGTGGCTTTTTGAGCCAACGTGGAATTGCACACTTCTGAAATAGGGTGTGACAACCTCTTTGGAGGAGGACCATATCAAATAAAAGTAACACTGCATTTAAACTTCCTTTGGCAACCTATTTTTATTTATTTATATTCCACCTTTATTGTTTTTATAACGAAAGGTGGCAAACAAACACAATATTCCTTCTTCCTCCTGTTTTCCTTACTGGAACAATAACCCTGTGAGGTGGGTTGGGTTGAGAGAGAGGGTCAGCTAGCTGGCTTTCATGGATGAGGCAGAACTAGAACTCGCCACCTGTTGGTGATTGGCCCAAAGTCACCCAGCTGGCTTTGTGCCTAAGGCAGAACTAGAATTCACCATCTCCCAGTTTCTAAACCAGCACCTTAACAACTACACCAATCTGGCTTTCCTACCCTGGCATTTTCTAACAACTTGGATGACTCTAGAGTTGTAATGTTTTTAACTTCTCTTTCGTACTCACATGTGCCTGAATTCTTGCCGCTGTGCTGGGGGCTTTATGTTTTTAAAAGCTTTCTCTTCTTCGCTGATGCTTGTGGCATGTTTGTGTGGTTTCGTTTGGACATGAAACTCCTGTTCCAGTTTCACTGTATGTTTATTTAAAAGACAAAACAAAACAAAAAACCACAGAGTGCGGGACTAAATAAAGAAATCCGAGGTCAACCGAAAAAGCTTTTTGCTGGAAGAGAACCAGCCCAGACAGTAGAAGAAACAAAAATATTTTTTTTTCTGTGCAAGAAAAAAAAAATATTTGCACGTGATTTAATGCACTGAGTGACTCTTCTCCCATTTATCATTGTACTTCTGTGCAGTTTTGGGACAGACCGGTTGCCAAATGGGAGTCAGGATCCAACTTTGCAAGATGGTGAGAGGGAGGGCTATCCAGGGTTTGGTCAAAAAAGTCAAGATGGCCTCCGTGATTGCATAACCCAAATCCTGCCCCCCCTTTTTTTACTTGCAAAATCCATTTTAAAAGGAGAGGGTTTAATTGGATAACCAGCGGCCAGCACCCTGACTTTTTTTGCTCAACATTTGGATTCCACTTTACCCTCCGGCTTTGTCCCGTACATCTTTTTTTTAAATTTGCATTAACATGTTTACTACGTACTTTTCAATCCTAAAGCTGAGTTTTGTAAAATGAAGTTTAAAAATTCCTGTCCCTCCCCTCCAGTGTTATCCATATATTTTCTTGAGGGAAACAAAGAGAGCCGGAGTCTATGAATCAGCAGTAAAACAATGGGGAAATGATGAATAATTCACACCCATTTTTAAACAAACGAACATCTGGTCGAAACGACTTATTTGCCGTTCTGTTTTGTTTCCCAAAAGAGTGGGAAAGATTAAAAAAAAAAAGATATTGCAAATCAATATGGAATTAATGAAATTAACCTCCCAAAACACGATGGAACATTTCTTCAAAGTCTGGCTTTCACATCCATTTACACAATGTAATTAAGTGGGTCAGGTCTAAATCTCCATGCTGGCTGGGGAATTCTGGGAGTTGAAGTCCACACGTCTTCAAGTTGCCAGGGCTGGACACCTCTGGACTACACAATATGTTCAATTCAAACAGGTCAAACTATGACCTTGTGTCCAGGGTAGACTTATCTTTTATCCTGGACCAGCTGAAAACCACTGGTCTCTAGGTCCAAACATAATAGAGATCTTGACCAGATCTTGATGTTGCATTAAATCACCATGTTGTTTTACCACTCAGTGCAAGCCCAGTTTTTTTTGATTTATTAAACCAGGGTTTGTGGATTAGCAGAATATCTGAATGTAAACTAGACTTAACCAAGAGCCAGAATCAGGGCTGTGAATCCGATCCGAGGGGGACTTTCCGTGAGTACAAATTCCCTGAAAGCACTTTATAAATAACTCATGTAATAGTTCTGACCTTTACAGGAAGCATGGAAGCATGCCGTTGAAAAAGCCAAGCACATGCCTGACCCCTGGGCTGAATTTCACCTGGAGGACATCAAAATGGAAAACGCCACTCGCTACAGGTCGGTCGATATTTCTTGCACATGAGAAAATGTGAGGTTGAAGAATTTCTACTTTTGCTCCCTGGTGCATTCAAAAAATATATATTAGTGTATTAAATTAATCAACAGTGCCTGGCTGTTTCTGTCCTCCCACTCTTTAAAGGTTGTGATATTGTTGGAAAGGGAGAAAGTGGTAACTGCTGAAAGAAAGCAACACAAATCAAATTAGCAAAACAGGTTATAATATCATTCCCTATTAATTAATCGGTGCCTGAATTGGAGCTAATCTCATTATCCAGAAGCAGGGAAAACCTCTCATGCTTATCTCCTGAACTCTTAATAATTCCTGCCTGCATCATGTGTGTATGTGTGTGTGTGTGTGTGTGCAACTCATATATCACAATATTATCGGTCATAGTGTACATAACTCTGCAGGTAGTCTTCAGTTTATGACGGTGGCTTAAAAACATTTGAAGTTACAACCAACCCCCCTAAAAAAGGGGATTTATGACCCAGGTCTGAAGTTCCAACAGTCGGCCCCTTCCACGGTCATCTAACCACATTTTCTGACAGTTTTTGAAACTTTTTGAAGCTTTAGGAAACTTCTGAGTTTTGGCAAAAACATTCCCCTAGCAAACCATTGGCTTGGTTAAAGGCCGCTGGTCCATCTCGCAGATGCAACTCTGGGTGGTTAACAACTTGTGAAAACAAGCAAGCATTCAGGACTAAGCAACTGGAATATAATATATTCCTCTCTTTTTGCATTTTCATTTTCATTTTTTTTAACTGGGCAGGTACAATGCTGTTACTGGAGAATGGATCGAAGACGAGGTGTTGATCAAAATGGCTGCGCAGGTAAGAAAAGCAGACCTTTTTTTGGGGCTCTGGTTGTTAAGCAGATCACGGTCATTAAATGAATCATATGGTCATTAAGCAAATTCGGCTTCCTCCGTTGACTGTCCTTATCCAAAGCTAGTTAGGAATGTGGCAGGTTGCTGTCAACTGACCCCAGGACTATGCAACTCTCAAAAAAGGGTTGGCTGATGCCCAAATTTTGATCATGTGATCGTGGGGATGCTGTGACGGTCATAAGTGCGAGGATGGTCCTCAGTCACTTTTTTTCAGTGCCGTTCTGAACGGTTGCTTAGTGAATTGTAACGTGAGGACTACCTGTATTAATCACCTGGTTTGTTTTTCCAGCCTTTTGGCCGAGGAGCGATGCGCGAATGCTTTCGGACGTAAGTGTGCAGCTGTTCCTAGACCTCCGTGGTTTGAAAAAAGACTCCCATTTTCTTGTTTTCATTCACGTCTGCTTTTACTTGAGGTTTAACTCAAGAAAGGAAACTGGTACCAAGGAGATAATGAAGGGCCAAAGTCACTTTTTGAAGCAATTGCTTTTCCCTCGTTGCAAAATACACGGAAAATCGCCACCCCTCTTACTCTTTGTGAAATGAGGCAATTCCTGGAGATGAAATGGAACAAACGGTGGGGGATGTTCTATTTATACTAGGATCTTTTCATATAGGGATAAATTTCCAGCACTGGTACATTAATCTACTAATAACCCAGAAATTAAAGCACTAGTTTAAAAAAGATGTATATAAAAAAAGATGTTGAGACTCTGGAAAGAGTGCAGAGAAGAGCAACAAAGATGATTAGGGGACTGGAGGTTAAAACATATGAAGAACAGTTGCTGGAATTGATTATGTCTAGTGAAAAGAAGGACTAGGGGTGACATGATAGCAGTGTTCCAACATTTGGGGGGTTGCCACAAAGAAAAGGGGGTCAAGCTATTCTCCAAAGCACCTGAAGGCAGGACAAGAAGCAACAGATAGAAACTAATCAAAGAGAGAAGCAACCTAGAACTAAGGAGAAATTTCCTGAGAGTTAAAACAATTAACCGGTGGAACAGCTTGCCTCCAGAAGTTGTGAGTGCTCCAACACGGGAGATTTTGAAGAAGAGACTGGACAGCTACTGGTCTGGAATGGTATACGGTTTCCTGCCTGAGCAGGGGGTTGGACTAGAAGACCTCCAAGGCCCCTTCCAACTCTGTTATTCTGTTTGATTGTTGCATAGCTCACAAGCAGAGTAACTACGATTGCGGAAAGCTGCTTTTGAAAGTTAGAAAAGCTGGTTTTGCCCATCCTTGTTCAGGACTTCTAGGAGAAAGCTATCAGACCAGGGTATGCCAGGAGTGGATTTCTCCGGCGTGCCAGGAAATCTACCCCTTTCTCTAAAGCAGATCTTTTTTCCGTAGATACAAATTGCGGAAGAAAGCTTGCCTTAAAATGGCAAAGGACTCGTAAAAGGCCCGCTGTTTCCCCAGTATCTTAGCTTCACCGGATGTTTGTTTCTCTCGGTCTTTTTAAGGAAAAAGCTGTCCAATTTTCTGCACATGCAGAATTGGAAAGGGGCCTTTAATTACGTGGCCAAGAGATACATTGAGACGGTCAACCGGGACGTCTATTTTGAGGATGTGCGGCTGCAGATGGAGGCCAAGTTATGGGGAGAAGAATATAACCGCCATAAACCCCCCAAGCAGGTATATTCTCACGCAGAATCCTGGGGAGAATTAGTGAAGCCCAGAAAGTTCAAAACCATGTGTGTTTTTTCCCCCTCTCTTCTCTGTCACTTATTTTTTTTCCCTCTTTCTTCTCCTTAGGTAGATATTGTCCAGACCTGCATCATTGAAATGAAGAACAGACCGGGGCGGCCTCTTTATCACCTGGAACATTACATTGAGGGGAAATACATCAAGTACAATTCGAACTCGGGATTCGTACGAGATGACAACATCCGTCTGACCCCACAGGTAGGACTTTCATTGCAACAAGTTGGCAATTCGGTGGATGATGGATAACCTTAGCCTGTTCAGTAAGATTAAAGTTAAGGTTAGTGACAAATGGCTGTCCAGTCTCTTCTTAAAAACTTCACAGCTTCTGGAGGCAGGTTGTTCCACTGATTAATTGTTCTATTGTTCTAATTGTTCAATTTGGTCTTCAGTGTTGCAAAAGCTATTTTTTAGAATAATTGGGTCTGGGCAAGAAGCTGGTCCCTGTTGACATCTCCCCAAGTGCAAAGTGTCCCCATAGAATTCTGCATTTGTGCAGCGACAGTAACTTCCCGTAGAAGCAAATGTGTTTTTTTCTTCCCGTTGAGCTGATGCGACGTCCATTCTCTTGCAGGCCTTTAGCCATTTCACCTTTGAACGCTCCGGACACCAGCTGATCATTGTGGACATCCAAGGTGTTGGAGACCTGTACACAGATCCCCAGATCCATACTGAGAGTGGCACAGATTTTGGAGACGGGAATCTCGGTAAAAAAAACAGCAATTATTTGTCATTGTGGGTGGCTCAACTTCTTCAGGGATTGGGGAATGGTGTTTGATTTGAGAAGGGGTCAGCTTTAGTTCTGGGAAACCTCCATCCTTGGAAAAAACAATCTTTAAACACGGGTCCAGTGTGCTGATGAGAACAAATAACATTAGGTCGTCCTCAACTTACAATAGTTTATTCAGTGATGGTTCAAAGTTACAACGACGCTGAAAATGGCCCAAAACTCACTTAACAAATGTCACTTAGCAATGGAAATTGAGTCGTAAGTGGAGGACTTACCTATATTGTGATGCTGTTGTGATGTCCTTGGTGCTTCTAAGTTGGTTGCAGATGTTTCATTATCTGACTAGGTAATCCGTGCTTATTTGGTATATTGGTTGCTGGAGAAGATGTTTTCTAGTCTTTTGTTTTTATTGCCTCATTTAAATGATGTGTACGTGTGGTTAATCTCTATGTGTCTGTTGATGGCTGGTTGGTCTGAATGGTTCTTGACTTCAGAAAAATCGCTAGGCTTCCATGTAAGTAAGGCATTGCATCTCAAAACAATTTTCTCATTCTTTCTGTGGATGGTTCTCTACCTGCCCCAGGTGTGCGAGGGATGGCCTTGTTCTTCCATTCTCACTCCTGCAACCGGATTTGTCAAAGCATGGGGCTGATGCCTTTTGATCTCTCCTCCACAGAGAAGGACGCCTTGTTTCGCAGTAGCAAACTACTTGTAAGTATTGTCGGCAAAGGAGCTTTGAATTGCTGGAGGCCATTTTGTGAAGAGGGTACGATTCGCGAATCCCACAAAATGGCAGCCTTATTCGAATTTGCACTAACTGAAGCTTGGCTTACATTAAAAGCCCCCGGATGTTGATTTATAAATGGCACTAAATCCAATTTTGCACCGTTTGAACTTGTAGAAGTATGAACAGGGACCTACCCTTATTTCAACAGGGGCATATTTACTCAGAGAGTACTAGAAGTTCCTGATTGAGGTTTTACTTTTTGCTGTCCAGGAATCGGCCCAGACTGTCCTTCGGGGCACGGAAGAGAAATGTGGCAGTAGCCATGTGCGAACCGTCTCTGGCAGTCGTCCCCCGTTCCTCTCCCGTCTCTCCGAAAACTCGGGGGATGAAAGCATGAGCGACATGGCGTTCGACTCGTTGCCCTCTTCCCCGTTCTCAGCCACGCCTCACAGCCAAAAGATGGAGGCTCTTCGTAAGTGCCAACCGTGGGCAGATATTTTTGTGTCAGCCAATGGGGACTGCTGGTTTTAGAAAATAGGGCAATTACAGTATGAGAGTCTGGAGAATACAGGTAGTCCTCGATTTGCGAGCCTTCGTTTAGTGACTGTTCAAAGTTACAACGGCACTGAAAAAAGGGACTCACAGATGGTCCTCATAATTGCAACCATTGCAGCAACCCACAGTTACATTTTTAAGCATGAATTCATATGTATTCATTAATAAAATGTTAAGACCTCAACTTAATGGCCAATCTTTTAGTGACTATTTGAAGTTATGACAGGGCTAAAAAAAAGGGATTTACAACTGTTCTACGGCATCCTTGCCTAAAGGGTGAAATCCTTCTTTGTTTTGATTTAGACTGGCCTGTCTTTAATGAAGTCGACAACTTGGTTCACAAAGACCACGAAGGCCTCGACAATCAACGGGTAAGTTCCTCAAGACCTACCTGGATTCACACATTATGCTCCAGCCCTAAAAAGATTGGGCTGGGTTTAGGGTGAGGTGTAAATCCAGGCCCTGGTGCTTATGAGCCAGCGTGTTTGTGACTTGCTGCGGTTTGTCAACCACACAAACTGTGATTTGCTCATTAAATGGTGGTTGAAACAAGTCATGGTTTAGGATCATGGAGGAGGCAACCATTGGGTTGATGAAAAAAAACCCAGCAAGTGTTATTTTTTTTTAACTTCCTAAAATGCTCACTTTACCTGATCTTCCAATGAACTCTGGGATGGGGGTCTTCAAACTTGGCAACTTGAAGACCCATGGACTTCCAACTCCCAGAATTCATAGCTGGCTGAGGAATTCTGGGCGTTGAAGTCCACAAGTCTTCACGTTGCCATGGTTGGAGACCTCTGCTGTAGTGTGATATCAAAACAGGACTTTCTCTCCATTTGCGGTATTCAAATATCTCTCTCCTCTTGAGTTTCCATTACTGAATGAACGGAGAACCAGGACCATCATCTCCAGCAGGGCCAAGAACCACGGGCTGCTTTCATTGTCCCACCCAAAAGAAGTAGACCAAGTGTCTGTGATATTATTGGGTGAAATCCCCCGTCGTAATCTGGAAGCTGGATCCCCTTTATTTTAATTCCTAATTTGGGCTGGAGGTTCTCAAACCACGAGGATTGATAGTACCATTTCCAATTCGGTAGAAGAGAAGGACAAAGTCTCCATCTATAAAATAAGGATAACTGCAAAGGAAGAACTCTTATTTTTCTCTCCTGTGTTTATCCTTAGGACTCTGAAAATGGAGGTGACAGCGGGTGCCCCAGTGAGAAAAGGAGTGACCACGAAGATATGGATCACCGTGAAAAGGTAATATCTTTTTCCCCCACCCATTTCGTGCACCAATCCTTGATTATTATTATTATTTTCAAATACATCGCACAATTTGCAATTGGATGGACATCCTGACTTGACTTCTAAGCAGACGACAATTCATTGCCCTTAGTCTGGGTACAATACACTCCCTCCTCGTGTTCTTGTAGAAGTAGTCCTTGACTTACAACATTCATTTAGTGACCGTGGGAACTGCCCAGAAGAAAGTGACTTACGACCGTTTTTCACACAACCCTCGCGGCATTCCCCCCCCCATGGTCACGTGATCAAAATTCACTTGGCAACCGACTCGTATTTATGACGGTTGTAACGTCCCGGGGCGGGTCACGTGATTCCCCTTGCCAAGTTTGAAGACCCCTGTTCTAGAGACTGGCATTTTGAATAGGAACACAAAAATGCATATTCTTCATAGCATCCGTTGAGATCTTTTAATAAGGAACGGTTGCTGGAATTGGGGATGTCTAGTTTAACGAAGAGAAGGACGAGGGAGGACATGATAGCAGTGTTCCAGTATCTCAGGGGCTGCCCCAAAGAAGAGGGAGTCAAGCTATTCTCCAAGGCGCCTGAAGGAAGGACAAGAAGCAACGGATGGAAACTAACCAAAGAGAGAAGCAACCTAGAACTAAGGAGAAACTTCCTGACAGTGAGAACAATTAACCAGTGGAACAACCTGCCTCCAGAAGCTGTGAATGCTCCAACACTGGAAGTTTTTAAGAAGAGATTGGACCGCCATTTGTCTGAAATGGTAATAGGGTTTCCTGCTTGAGCAGGGGGTTGGACTAGAAGACCTCCAAGGTCCCTTCCAACTTTATTATTATTATTATTATTATAATCAAGGAGAGAAGCAACCTAGAACTAAGGAGAAACTTCCTGACAGTGAGAACAATTAACCAGTGGAACAACCTGCCTCCAGAAGCGGTGAATGCGCCAACACTGGAAGTTTTTAAGAAGAAACTGGACAGCCATTTGTCTGAAATGGTATAGGGTTCCTGCCTGAGCAGGGGGTTGGACTAGATGACCTCCGAGGTCCCTTCCAACTTTATCATTATTATTATTATTAAATATTTAACTTGCCTCATTTTTAAGTTAGCCCCTCCGTGACACTGGCCCAACTTTTTTTTTTAGAACATGAAGCTTTTTAAAAATGCTTTTCATCCAAACCTGAATTAAATTGTTCTCTCTCTTTTTTTTCTTCTTTCCCCTCCATTCACTTAGTGTCATCTTAACTGCAACCGGAGACACGAATCGGATGAAGACAGCTTGGGCAGTTCCGCCCGGGTAAATAAATCCGATCTTTTCCAAAAATCACACTCTGCTCCAGATGACCTCTTCACCAAAGCTGCTTAATTTCCCCTGAATTCCTGAAGAATCTTTTCCCGGGGTTTACCCCTCTTTTCTTTTTTCCTTCCCTGTTTAATCCTCTGTCTTTTCCAACTAGAGAAATGCTGTTCTAAATAAAGTGTCTGAGACCGCTAAACCGATTCTCAGGAACAAAAGGGTGATTCTGCATGCATTTTATTCTGTTTCTGGGATTTTGGCTTGTTTTTTCTCCTCTGCTTTTTTGGGGGTTCTTGGCAAACAATTCCAGATCTTGGAGTGTGCCTCAGCATCGCAGTTTTAAAATGTTTTTTAAGTTGTAGTCCAGAGTAGACATAGTAGCTCCTTTGAGACTTCTTCCTATGTACCTGAATGTGAGAATGTGCTTAAATGCTTTGCTGGGTTCAACCCACAATGCAGCATGTAGGCTGATCTTTGCTTTAAGCCTGTTGTAAAGGTAAAGATGTGTCTGTCCAGTTGTGTCCAACTTTAGAGCGTGGTGCTCACCTCCGTTTCTTGGCCGAGGGAGCCAGTATTGTCCTAAGTATTTCCGTGGTCATGTGGCCAGCTGGCTATATGCCAAAGGCGCACGGAATGCTATTAATTCCCACCGAAGTGGTACTTATTTATCTACTCGTATTTGCATGCTTTCAAACTGCTAATTGGGCAGGAGCTGGAGCAAGGAACGGGAGCTTACCCCGTCGCGTGATACTTGGGTCTCAAACCCAGGATGTCAGTTTTCCAGATGACAAGCTCAGTGTCTTAAATTCCTGAGCCATCACGCCGCCTAATAGCAATAGCAATAGCATTTATATACCGCCTCATAGTGCTTTACAGCCCTCTCTAAGCGGTTTTCAGAGTCAGCCTATTGCCCCCCAACAATCTGGGTCCTCATTTTACCGACCTCGGAAGGATGCAAGGCTGAGTCAACTTTGAGCCGGGCAGGATCGAACTCCCGGCAGTGAGCAGAGTCAGCCTGCAATACTGCATTCTAACCACTGCGCCACCAGGGCTCTAATAGCCTGTTGTATAGGAAGCTATTGTTTTTGGAAAGCATAGCTAGGATGCTTATGTTTGAAATAATCACAAACGTCGGTGCTTTTATATGTGTGAATGGTTTCAGGAAAACCATGCCTGTATATTTAGCCTTTCTTGGGCATTTTATGAGCGGTGGAACAGGTTGGTCTATAAATTGAAAAGTAGGGCAAGCACCGCTTTAGGTGCCAGGCAAGAAGGTACAGCTGTAACAGTGGCTCTTTTTCAGAATCGACTTCAAATCCGAGGACCGCACAACCCAGGTTTGCAGGATCACATATGCAGAGGGACACATGTCTGCAGGGAAGTGAAGGATAAAATACGCACTGCATTGTCACACAACAAACTTCGCCCCCGTGGGACACTTGTTGTGATGTTCTTAAGGAGCAGAACTTAAGTCATGATGTTGCAATGCTCCTTTTGTCATTCTGATGAACATTTTGTGTACTGGGAATGGTTTTAACGTGTCCAGTGTGCAGCGTGCGCTCAGTGTGTTTGTGTCTCCTTGCCCTCGCTGCAGAGATATCAATGTGTGCATGTGTGTGTGTGTCTGTGAAAAATTTTTAGGGATATTGTCCTAGCTTCCTGGCTGGCTGGGGAATTCTGGGAGTTGAAGTCCACGCATCTTAAAGTTGCCACGGTTGAGAAACACAGTTCTAGCCAAGCTTATTAATAAAGTGTAATTGTGGTCTTCTGCTGGAGTTGATTTTTCTGGTCTGGTCTACTTAGTTGGGCTCACAAAAGGACAGTTAAGGGTGAATTCAGACAGTCTGGCTTACCCAAAAAGCTGTGGCTTAGCATGAGGAGTGTACACGGTCCATGGCTGAGAAAAGCTCTCTTAAGATTTCAGTCTGGAGGGATTTTTTTTTAACTTACGAAAGAAGTTTCAGAGTTCCACCATGGAGCCATTTTTGGCCAGACTAGTGTTCTGCTGCTGTGATGATTGTGAAGAAGCTCATTGAGAAGAAAGATGGTGAAGATGTGAAGTAGGACACTTTTCTTTTTTTGGTTTCTCCTCGCTTCCTTTCTCTTAACTCTTCAGACTGAAGTTCTGGTGGACTTTCCCTCTTCTAGGTCAGCGTGGAGAAATGGAATCTCTACAACGCCGCCCGAGTTCACATTCACAGACCTTCTTGCGTTGCGGTAGAAGTTCAGAGACTCAACGGCCTGGAGCTGGAGAAGAAGATCGGAAAATCCATCCTTGGAAAAGTGAGGGCTATGCTGTCTCTAGTTTAATCTTCCCCCAGGCAGCATCTCTTCACCCATCGCCCGAGGTCTGTCCGACGTCCCCTTACAGCTTTTCTCCCTCCTCCCAACAGGTTCACCTGGCGATGGTCCGCTACCACGAAGCCGGCCGGTTTTGCGAAAAGGATCAGGAGTGGGACCAAGATTCGGCTCTCTTCCACCTGGCGCACGCAGCCGAGTGTGGAGAACTGGAAGCCATTGTAGGGCTGGGCCTCATGTATTCTCAGCTACCTCATCACATTCTTTCAGAGGTCATTCTGCAGGTAACCACAGGCAGTCCTTGGCTTATGGCCGCAACTGAGCTTCAGATTTTTCGTTGCTATGTGAGTGAGGCGGTTCAGTTGCAAAGGTCCACACATTATTTTTTTCTTCAGCGCTGATGGGTGTTTCCTAGTTTGGGTGAAGGTCTGGAAGAAAACCACCAAGCTCAGAGTGCATCAAGGACCTCACAGTCCTCCTCCTCCTCCTCCTCCTCCTCCTCTTCTCCACAAACCCATTCCCTTCTAGCACTGATGATGTTACCTAGCTGGGTAATGAAACATCTACAAGCAAGCAACCAAGCTCAGAGAACACCAAGGACGACCTCCTCCTCCTTCTCCTTCTCCTTCTTCTCCTTCTCCTTCTCCTTCTTCTCCTTCTCCTTCTCCTTCTCCTTCTCCTCCTTCTCCTCCTCCCCCCCACAAACCCCGCTCCCTTCTAGGACTGATGATGTTACCTAGTTGGGTCATTAAATGTCTACAAGAAAACCACCAAGCTCAGAGACCATCAAGGACCTCACAGTCCTCCTCCTCCTCCTCCTCCTCCTCCTCCTCCTCCTCCTCCTCTCCACAAACCCATTCCCTTTAAGCACTGATAAAGTTACCTAGTTGGGTCCTGAAATGTCTACAAGAAAACCACCAAGCTCAGAGATCACCAAGGACCCCTCATTTCAACCCTGAGCTACCAATATACTCCATTATATCGGTCTTTCTTTTTTCTTCCACCCCTTTCCATGTCTTCTGTAGGACACAAAGCAAAACAGAACCAAGGGCTTTGACTATTTGTGCCGAGCAGCTGAAGCTGGAGACCGTCCTTCCATGATTCTTGTGGCGAGAGCTTACGACATGGGCGTGAACCTGACCCCAGACAGGTAGCCTTGTGTGGTTAAAGAGGAGAGTGGACTATCCCTCTAGTCTAGGGGGCAGATGGCCTTGTCTTGTAATCTAAGACATTTAACCCATAACAAGAGCATTCCCCCTGTCTACTACAGTTTGCTAGTCTGCAAAGCAAACTTGGCAACTTTAAGACTTGAGGACTTCAGTTCCCAGAATTCCCTAGCCAGCATGGGTTTCTAGCCTGTGCTAGGAAGCTAGTCTTTGCCAATGCTTTCCTCTCAGCCTCAGTATTCCTCATCTGTAAAATAGGCACGCCAATACGCGTTTAGAAACTGACTTTTGCTTTGCTCCGTTTGAGAATGAGGTGCATAAACCATCAAAGCTGTTTTAATAATGACTTCTACACCAACGTTTCTCAACCTTGGCCGCTTTTAGATGTGTGGGCTTCAACTTCCAGAATGCTGGCTGGCTGGGGAATTCTGGGAGTTGAAGTCCACACATCTTAAAGTGGCCAGGTTTGCTGCCAAGCCACACTCAATCCATCGGTTGCGCCTCTGGAGACGATTCACGTCGGCTTCTGTTATTTTTCGACTCCGCAGAGAGCAGGATTGGAAAGAAGCTTTGTATTGGTACGACAAAGCTTTGAACATGACCGATTATGACGAAGGGGGCGAGTATGACGGCACTCAAGATGAACCTCGTTATCTCCTCCTCGCAAAAGAAGCAGAGATGCTGATGACGGGAGGGTTTAATTTGGACCAGGATCTGCAGAGATCAGGTATGAGGCTGGCTTGTTTTCAAGGCTTTTGCCCAACTCCTTAAATTCTTAGCCATGTGGCCCTTCGGCCAGATGTCCAAGGGGGTCCCATGAAGACCCCATGGCCAGGGGTCTCAGGTGGGCAAGCCCTGAATTGGATTGGGTCTTTACCTGTCCTTCTTCCTTCCAGGAGAGCTTTACACGGAAGCGGCTGAAGACGCCATGCAAGCTATGAAGGGTCGGCTAGCCAACGAATACTATCAGAAAGCTGAAGAGGTTTGGGCCATGATGGAAGAATGAGAAACCACAAAAGACCCTTGCAGATTTTGATACAGAAACCCTTTTTTAATTTAAAAAGAAAAAAAAATATTTTATTCAGAAGCTGGGTGGAGAACCAGGAGAGAGACAGGTTTTTTTATATATATATATATATCCTGTGAAAGGATCTTCTGTTTAACGTGATCTTTTTTACTTCCACTCGGGTCTGACGTAAAAAATCTTCCGTATTTCTGCTGAAATGGACCCCCTGCATTTCCGATTCCTCTCTCGATATTTTTTTGTGTGTGTGTGTGCAATTTTTCAAGTTGGGAAAAAATGGTGTTTTGTTTTTTTTAAAAGATTTGGAAGACGTCCTAAATCCTCCCTGTCTGCGTTACGGTTTTGCGATAGGGATGGTAAGAAATTCATCTGGTAGGTCTCAACCGCCTGGCTGTCGGTCTCATTTTTCAGAACTGTTTTTCTGCAGATGAGATTTAGTTTGTTCTGTGGGTTTGCTCAATAATAATAATAATAATAATAAAGTTGGAAGGGACCTTGGAGGTCATCTAGTCCAACCCCCTGCTCAGGCAGGAAACCCTGTACCATTTCGGACAAATAGCTGTCCAGTCTCTTCTTAAAAACTTCCAGTGTTGGAGCATTCACCGCTTCTGGAGGCAGGTTGTTCCACTGGTTAACTGTTCGCACTGTCAGGAAGTTTCTCCTTAGTTCTAGGTTGCTTCTCTCCTTGGTTAGTTTCCATCCGTTGCTTCTTGTCCTGCCTTCAGGGGCTTTTGAGAATAGCTTGACTCCCTCTTCTTTGGGGCAGCCCCTGAGATATTGGAAGACTGCTATCATGTCCCCCCTGGTCCTTCTCTTCATTAAACTAGACATATTCTAGTCTATTCGAGCAACCATTCCTTATATGTTTTAGCCTCCAGTCCCCTAATCATCTTTGTTGCTTACACTTTATTTGCTTATACTTCAGAGTGGATTCCCCCCCCCCCCCGATTATTGGAAGTTAAGATAATGAGGGAGGACGGTCTAAATAACAAACCTGATCATTTATCTGGGCCATTGAGTCCATTGAGGCCATTGAGTCCACAGGCCATAATTGAGGTAATTATCTGGGTTCTAACATCTAGACCCAATCTTCGTCGTTTTTAAGATGGGTGGACTTCAACTCCCAGAATTCCCCAGCCAGCTTGGCTGATTGAGTAATTCTGGGAGCTGAAGACCGCACACCTGGTTGAGAAACACTGATCTAGACATTTCTAAAACAGCTTTGATGACATATGCATCTCATTCTGAAACAAAGCAAAACAAAAGCCAGTTTCTAAGCAAGCCTTGGTGCGCCCATTTTACAGATGAGGAATACTGAGGCTTCAGAGGAAAGCATTGAGCAGCAGCCAAGCTTGACCAAGACTACAAACTCTTGGTGACCGATTGCAGACTTCCTAGGAATCTGTTGGTCTATCCTGATTGACCTTTTTGCCGGTCCTTGATCTAACCAGACATGATTCATTTTGAGCAACTCCCAACTCATTAAAAACGCTGAGTTTTGCAGCTGAATCTGTAAAAAAAAAAACAGCGCATTGTGGCTGTCTTACAGAATTGTAACCTTTTAAGAAAATTAGCTGGACATTGCTTTATCTCCTTCTATGCCCAAAGAAAGCAGAAGCTTTTTTTAGGGATTAAAAAAAGGTTTTAAAAAACACCAATAGTATTCTTTGCTCATCTCAAACAGCTACTGACCGATGTATAAACAAAACCAAATTCAGCTCAAGAAATCTTATTGGGTTTTTTTAAAAAGTATGGTAGCCTTTTATCTTATTTTTTCCNTCCTCCTCCTCCTCCTCCTCCTCCTCCTCCTCCTCCTCCTCCTCTCCACAAACCCATTCCCTTTAAGCACTGATGATGTTACCTAGTTGGGTCCTGAAATGTCCACAAGAAAACCACCAAGCTCAGAGACTACCAAGGACCCCTCATTTCAACCCTGAGCTACCAATATTCTCCATTATATCGCTCTTTCTTTTTTCTTCCACCCCTTTCCATGTCTTCTGTAGGACACAAAGCAAAACAGAACCAAGGGCTTTGACTATTTGTGCCGAGCAGCTGAAGCTGGAGACCGTCCTTCCATGATTCTTGTGGCGAGAGCTTACGACATGGGCGTGAACCTGACCCCAGACAGGTAGCCTTGTGTGGTTAAAGAGGAGAGTGAACTATCCCTCTCTAGGGGGGCAGATGGCCTTGTCTTGTAATCTAAGACATTTAACCCAAAACAAGAGCATTCCCCCTGTCTACTACAGTTTGCTAGTCTGTAAAGCAAACTTGGCAATTTTAAGACTTGGGGACTTCAGTTCCCAGAATTCCCTAGCCAGCATGGGTTTCTAGCCTGTGCTAGGAAGCTAGTCTTTGCCAATGCTGTCCTCTCAGCCTCAGTATTCCTCATCTGTAAAATGGGCATGCCAATACGCGTTTAGAAACTGACTTTTGCTTTGCTCTGTTTGAGAATGAGATGCATAAACCATCAAAGCTGTTTTAATAATGTCTTCTACACCAACGTTTCTCAACCTTGGCCACTTTTAGATGTGTGGGCTTCAACTTCCAGAATGCTGGCTGGCTGAGGAATTCTGGGAGTTGAAGTCCACACACCTTAAAGTGGCCAGGTTTGCTGCCAAGCCACACTCAATCCATCAGTTGCGCCTCTGGAGACGATTCACGTTGGCTTCTGTTATTTTTCGACTCCGCAGAGAGCAGGATTGGAAAGAAGCTTTGTATTGGTACGACAAAGCTTTGAACATGACCGATTATGACGAAGGGGGCGAGTATGACGGCACTCAAGATGAACCTCGTTATCTCCTCCTCGCAAAAGAAGCAGAGATGCTGATGACGGGAGGGTTTAATTTAGACCAGGATCTGCAGAGATCAGGTATGAGGCTGGCTCGTTTTCAAGGCTTTTGCCCAACTCCTTAAATTCTTAGCCATGTGGCCCATTCGGCCGGATGTCCAAGGGGGTCCCATGAAGACCCCATGGCCAGGGGTCTCAGGTAGGTGAGTCTCGAATTGGATTGGGTCTTTACCTGTCCTTCTTCCTTCCAGGAGAGCTTTACACGGAAGCGGCTGAAGACGCCATGCAAGCTATGAAGGGCCGGCTAGCCAACCAATACTATCAGAAAGCTGAAGAGGTTTGGGCCATGATGGAAGAATGAGAAACCACAAAAGACCCTTGCAGATTTTGATACAGAAACCCTTTTTTAATTTAAAAAGAAAAAAAAATATTTTATTCAGAAGCTGGGTGGAGAACCAGGAGAGAGACAGTTTTTTTTAATATGTATATATATCGTGTGAAAGGATCTTCTGTTTAACGTGATCTTTTTTACTTCTCACTCTGGTCTAACGTAAAAAATCTTCCGTATTTCTGCTGGAATGGACCCCCTGCATTTCCGATTCCTCTCGATATTTTTTTTGTGTGTGTGTGCAATTTTTCAAGTAGGGAAAAATGGTTTTTGTTTTTTTTTTAAGATTTGGAAGACGTCCTAAATCCTCCCTGTCTGCGTTACGGTTTTGCGATAGGGATGGTAAGAAATTCATCTGGTAGGTCTCAACCGCCTGGCTGTCGGTCTCATTTTTCAGAACTGTTTTTCTGCAGATGAGATTTAGTTTGTTCTGTGGGTTTGCTCAATAATAATAATAATAATAATAAAGTTGGAAGGGACCTTGGAGGTCATCTAGTCCAACCCCCTGCTCAGGCAGGAAACCCTGTACCATTTCGGACAAATGGCTGTCCAGTCTCTTCTTAAAAACTTCCAGTGTTGGAGCATTCACTGCTTCTGGAGGCAGGTTGTTCCTCTGATTCATTGTTCTAACTGTCAGGAAGTTTCTCCTTAGTTCTAGGTTGCTTCTCTCCTTGATTAGTTTCCATCCGTTGCTTCTTGTCCTGCCTTCAGGGGCTTTTGAGAATAGCTTGACTCCCTCTTCTTTGGGGCAGCCCCTGAGATATTGGAAGACTGCTATCATGTCCCCCCTGGTCCTTCTCTTCATTAAACTAGACATATTCTAGTCTATTCGAGCAACCATTCCTTATATGCTTTAGCCTCCAGTCCCCTAATCATCTTTGTTGCTTACACTTTATTTGCTTATACTTCAGAGTGGATTCCCCCCCCCCCCGATTATTGGAAGTTAAGATAATGAGGGAGGACGGTCTAAATAACAAACCTGATCATTTATCTGGGCCATTGAGTCCTTTTCTTAAGGGCCACAGGCCATAATTGAGGTAATTATCTGGGTTCTAACATCTAGACCCAATCTTCGTCGTTTTTAAGATGGGTGGACTTCAACTCCCAGAATTCCCCAGCCAGCTTGGCTGATTGAGTAATTCTGGGAGCTGAAGACCGCACACCTGGTTGAGAAACACTGATCTAGACATTTCTAAAACAGCTTTGATGACATATGCATCTCATTCTGAAACAAAGCAAAACAAAAGCCAGTTTCTAAGCAAGCCTTGGTGCGCCCATTTTACAGATGAGGAATACTGAGGCTTCAGAGGAAAGCATTGAGCAGCAGCCAAGCTTGACCAAGACTACAAACTCTTGGTGACCAATTGCAGACTTCCTAGGAATCTGTTGGTCTATCCTGATTGACCTTTTTGCCGGTCCTTGATCTAACCAGACATGACTCATTTTGAGCAACTCCCAACTCATTAAAAACGCTGAGTTTTGCAGCTGAATCTGTAAAAAAAAAACAGCGCATTGTGGCTGTCTTACAGAATTGTAACCTTTTAAGAAAATTAGCTGGCCATTGCTTTATCTCCTTCTATGCCCAAAGAAAGCAGAAGCTTTTTTTAGGGATTAAAAAAAGGTTTTAAAAAACACCAATAGTATTCTTTGCTCATCTCAAACAGCTACTGACCGATGTATAAACAAAACCAAATTCAGCTCAAGAAATCTTATTGGGTTTTTTTAAAAAGTATGGTAGCCTTTTATCTTATTTTTTCCTGGATGACAACATGTTTCCCAGCTGCAGCTTTAAAAGATTAATTGCCTGAATGCCATTTTATACTGATTTTCTTGACTGTTGAATTTTTACGACCAAGCTGGAATTCTAATAAGAGGAAGCTCGTTTTTCCAAATATAACTAAAGATACGGTCCAGGAATTAGATGGCTGGTGGTCTGTAAGAATGCACTTGTAATAAATAAGAATACTTCTGCAGAGAAAGGTTGGTAGGAATGAAAAATGGATACTGGACATCCAGGGAAGGCAGATGGAAAAAAGCCACATTGCCCTTTTTTTTTTTTTTGTAATTA